TGAGATTACATGGCAATGCTTGCGGTGTCTCCCTTATGTTGTTACATAAAAAAATTTACATTTACATTTAAAAAAACCAAAATGTAAGTTTCTAACTCTAAGAGCTGCAAAGAGAAGCATGGCAATGAAAAGGTAGTAACTACTCATGTCTATAAGAAGCTTACGCAAGTGTTTGAGGTGTCAGCTGCTAGTTGTAGGTCAGGATGAGGCTGTCTCCAAGGCACATGGCTCAGGAAGAAAGGTGTGGAGGTATGTAAGTTTAAGACTAGCAAAGACTTGGGTGAACAGCACAGAGGAATATGCTAACCAACCTGGTCCATCCTGTCCCAGGCAGAGCATGAAATGTGTGCTGCTTCTCTGGGAACAGAAATGGTTACAGCCAGAAGGGGATGTGGTTTCTTTTAATTCAAGTCTGTATGTTGGCTTTTTCTGAAAGCTTGTAAATGCCAAAAAAGCCAGAAACTCATAAGAAAGAAAATATATTAGATTTCTTTTCTGTGTTTCAGTGTTGATACCTCACCCTGGGTTTAAGAGACTGTCGAGTGCCTGCTCTGCTTGTGAACTGCTGCTTCACCAGTTTAGATAGATAGTCATTTTATTACATTCAGAATGAACATCACAGAATCACAGAATCACAGAATCACTAAGGTTGGAAAGGACCTTCAAGATCATCAAGTCCAACCATTAATCCAGCACCACCATGTCCCCTAAACCATGTCCTGAAGCGCCACATCCACACGTTTCTTGAACTCTTCCAGAGATGGCAACTCCACCACCTCCCTGGGCAGCCTGTTCCAATGCCTGACCACCCTCTCGGTGAAGAAGTTTTTCCTAATATCCAATCTAAACCTCCCCTGGCGCAACGTGAGGCCATTTCCTCTCCTTCTATCACTTATTACTTGGGAGAAGAGACCAACACCCACCTCCCCACAACCCCCTTTCAGGTAGCTGCAGAGAGCGATAAGGTCTCCCCTCAGCCTCCTCTTCTCCAGACTGAACAATCCCAGTTCCCTCAGCCGCTCCCCATAAGACTTGTGCTCCAGTCCCCTCACCAGCTTCGTTGCCCTTCTCTGGACACGCTCCAGCACCTCAACATCCTTCTTGTAATGAGGGGCCCAAAAACATGATCCTCTTCAGCTACAGATATCTAGTAGTTCACTGTAAAATGCAATTCAAGTGAGAGAAGAAATCAGAATTTGCTGTGCCTTAACAACACCATGATAGCATTAGCAAGCAGGAATCAGAGACTAGTTCTGACAATTCTGATTTATGAGCTCAGTGCAAGTGACACAAAATGTCTGAACCACCAGGTGAACTGAAGGCTGAGGGGTTCTCACATGCAGGAATTCCTGCACCATGTAGATGGAAAGTGTCCTGGTGTTGAGTTGGATGAGGGATGTTAAACTTCTGTCTTGGAAATTTGCTCTCTGTCACCCTTGTTCTAACCTTCTCCAGATAAGGGGACAACAGAGGAATCTACCTTCTCGGGGCCTGATCCATGCCAGCATTACACTGTGCTTACAGTGGTGTAACTCCATCGATACGGCTGGAGCTTCTGCCATGCACAGCTGGAGCAAAGCAGCAGGTTCTCAGTCTCTAACTTACCTCTGTGAAAAATAAACTCAAGTTGTTCCACTGCTGCACATCTCCCCATTAGTATAGGCAGAAATACTGACAGGTAGCGAAAGCATATTTTTGTACCGTCAGATAACCTTGAGCACTTTGCCTTGGGATTTTTTTGATATTTTCATCCAGTCCAATATGTAATCATGCAGTGGCATGACAGAGAAAAGCAGATTCATGCAATCACACTTCTGCATTGATAATGGGTTATACATTTGAAGATATTGATTGACTGCAAGGAAAATAAATTGAAGTAATACAGGATTTGAGAAAGCTGCTGACTAGAGACAACTGAGTCTGCAGTTTTGGTATATTTGTTTGTTTTAGCTTATTTAGATATCTGGAAAACTGCAGAAAGAAATTTTCAGGTATTCCAGAAAAAATCGATCATATTCTGATCCTAACTAAATTGCATGGTATCACTATAATTGAAAATCTGAAATAATAGAAATTGAGAAGACATGGAAGTTGCCACATTTGAATGACACCAACATCTTATGAAGTTTTGTGGCCTGTGCAAAGCCCATGGGGGACCTTGATCAGTATATATCATAATGAACAAACAACCAAAATAAAATATATCACAACTCTTCATGGGTAGTGTTATTTGAGCTGTAAAAACTGTATTGTCATAGGTACACTCCAAAACCAGTATATTCCCCCTTACAGCGAAGGCTGAAGCTTATTTGCAGGATACATATATCAACTATATTACCTGATAAAGAAATAAAAGATTTCCCTTTCTCAGGTAGTCAGTTTGATCCTCTTACTAGTTACTAAAATTTAGTTAGGAGGAAAACCCATTTAATTGTGACACAGTGAAAGGAGCTCAAAGCTATAATAGGGGCTCATTTTGAAAATATATCAGAGGTCATTCAGCCCTTCACTGTCATTCCTGTCAACTTCTGGTCCATGGATCGAATCTTCTAAAGGCAGCAATGATCATCTACTACTGATAATTTTCTAGGGGGGTATTTATTTCACCTCTCATTTGTTTCTAAAATCCTTTGGCTTCTATCCTCCCATGCTCTTTTTGCTGACGTCCTCCCTGCTTCACTATCTCTTTTCTTCCATGCTGTGTACCTCATCATTCATCAGCCTTACTTTGGACAGTAAAATCTATGTATTTACCTACTCCTCTACTAAATACCATGTATTTACCTACTGATGTCCATAGCTTGATCCAATACCATTGTAAAACACCAAAACATTGTGCTTCAGGGCAACAAAAACTCATCAGCTACCAGCAGAATGACACTGTTTACCAGCCAAATGAACACAACTCTGCATGCCAGGGTTTGCTTTGATCTAGTCAATGCTCTAACTTTCATTTTGACCTTTGCCAAGCATCTTAATCTCTTTCCTTGCTAACTATGGCTAATTTCTACATCAATAGGAGTTTTAAGAAAGTGATTAATATTTATATTTAAAAGGAAGAGGTACATCCTGCATGGGTTAACCCTAGAACCAAGCGAGGTTTTTTGTTCAGGATCCAATATATTCTGTTTCCTATGGAGTGAGTATGCCAGAACCAGTTAAAAATAGCTTCTTCCATTCATTAGAGTCAACAGACGGCTATTAATCTTCCTGAAAGTATTGATTCAAACTACTCGTCTCCACTTTCAAGGCCCTTCACAGAATACCCTCTCCCCATCTATCATCCCTCCTTACACAACTGAAAAGGTGGCTGGCTTTGTAACAAGTGGGTGACAATTACAAACCAGCAGTCTCTCTTACATGCTGCCCCTCACGTCCAGAGGGAGCTGTACACAGCATTAACAAAGCTTTTCCATTTGTCTCCTTTAAATACTTTCCTAAAACTTTCCTTTGCCATAAGGACTACAAAAGCATTGCTTAGTTGTACACTGGTGTGATGGGACTAGAGTCTCTCTACAAGATGATCTTGCCAAGGACCATCTTTTCAAATAAACATTTGTTTATTTCTCCATCTCCAATATCTATCTGCCCCAAACTGCAATTTCTCATTTTACTCCTAGATTGCAAGAGCTTGAATGCAAAGTCTCCGCATTACGTACTGCCTAGCAGAACATTTCTGAGCACACTATTGCAATATCGACAGTTAATAAGAAACAAATACTAGCTCAGGTGGTCAAAACCTGTAAGGTGCACTGTGGAGAGGTGCATAGTGCCAAAACCTCATAGACTAGTGTAAGCCAAAACTAGTAACCCAGCATGGCAAGTGATTTTGCCCAGCTACAATTTAACCCCTGCAGGGTCAATGCTGTACCTCAAAGAATAATGCCTGAGCTTCACTGGGATTTAGTACCTTAAGCTTGACCAATATTAAGCCAGCATAAATATATTCATCTAGTTCATGGATCACCACCCTGTAAGTTTTGGCATTGCCGTTCCCTGTGCTCCCAGTGCTGGTGTTACCCATAGCAGGTAACACCATATCAGCATAAACATACCCTTAGCATATATGATAGATTAACTTTTTTATTTCTAGAATTGATGTTCTGTTGTTTGCTCATAAACTAAATGTTCACTGCTGTTCCTTTAGACTAACATGTTGGTCTAATATATACATTCCTTCTGCCCTAGTTTCAAGATCTTCCCAAAGCCATGTGGATATTGCTGGAAGAAATATTGAAGATGCTAGAGACTCTCATCAGAAAGACATTTTAGTGACATCAGGAAACACATATTCCCTTCTTTCCCAAACCCAAATTCCAAGACAAGAAGCTACATACTTTTTGGAAAGAAACACCACAGTCATTAACACTCCATCCCTTACAATGAAAAGGAAGACTTCCCAAGATCATACACCACCAGCAAAAAAACCTCATTCGAAGTCCACAGCACCTGAGAAACAATCTTTTCTTGAAAAAAGAAGTGATACACACAGTTTGCTTCTGCACGAGGAGCCAGACCTCAGAGTCACAACTGGCGGTGTGACAACCCATACCCCTCTCCCGTTTAAACAACACAAAGCAGGTACAACCCAGACCGTTCCGTCTCACCACGACACAAATGCAAGTTCGTTCTTTGCAAGGCCATATGCTGTTCAGCAACCCCATTCCAAGCACGGCTATTCTCCGAGGAAATGGCCTAGTCGAGCCGCAGTCTCAAAGGCTAAACCATCCCAAGATTTCCCAACTGAGCAGCAGAGAGCATTTCCTTTGGCAACACGCCTCACCTCCCTTTTCCATTTAGTAGATTCTTCCCCTGATACAGCTCCCCAGAGCGCCAGCGTCCCGCCAGGGTCTGCTTCCCAAGCACGGCTTCCAGGACAGACCACAGCAGCCAGAAAGGCGTACAACACAGCGGTGGATCGTGTGGAACTGCCAAAAAACATCGGTGGGACACATCAGAATGTCCTTTGCGCTAATACGCCGTGCTTTACTGGTGTGCAGTGTGAGCTGGGCGAAGGCGGAGGGTTTAAATGTGGGCCTTGTCCCACTGGGTACAGCGGTGATGGAGTTACATGTGAAGGTAAGGGGGGAAATCCTCTTTCAAATTATTTTATAACTACAAATCTAGTATTTTTTTTATTAAAAGAATTTTTTTTTATTTTTATCATAAACTTGGAGATTTTTCTAGGTGGGATCATTCTGGTTTTCAAAGCCAATTATATTTCAAAATAATAGAGAAACATTTTATAACTTTGAAAAAGCTCTTTCTGCTTACAAAAATGACATATTTACTTGATAATATCTAATCTGTTAAAACCAGGGACAGATTGCAATCTTGCTTACCCTTGCTTAAGGCCAGCTTCGTTCTACTGAAGTCCTAACATTTGAAAACATATAAAATTTCTCTG